CCAGTGGTGAATGTATGACAAGTTGGTTGCAGTGAGCGGTCCAATGGGAGCACAGCATTCATACGACTGAAGCACTGCCTGTACTGCGGTCTACGGTTGCAATAGAGGTCTCACTTGATATTTGGCGATCAGATTGGCATTTGTATCGCGAGTTTCACCAAATGTGGTCTCATATTAAGGCAACCATTGATTTGAACGCTATTTGAGTGAATTGTTTGTCGCATATATGGCTAATAGTTGTCATTAACACACTTCACACCAATTGGTTGTGTTTTGAAAGCCGTGAACACATCTAACACTTCATACATTTGCCGACATTTGAATTGAAATCAAATGTTGTTTTTATTTTGATTATACCTTTTATTACCACTCATTGATCACCGCTTACACCACGAGACCACGCGCTCGCATGTCATTCAATTGATCCAATTGGTGACACCCATTGACAACAGCTATTCGTTTACCAATCATTGTCTCAAACTATTGGTTATGCATTGAAATGGCAGTCAAACAGAGAAAGATTGCTTTAATGGGTTTCCGATCAGTCGGTAAGTGACACCATGAGTGCCATGACCAGTACCACGACGATTGTGACCATTGATTGTGTTGTTGATGTCTTGCAGGCAAGTCTTCGTTGACCCTCCAGTTCGTTGAGGGACAGTTCGTCGACTCATACGACCCCACCATTGAAAACAGTAATCAAATGACCAATTGCTTGACAAACGGTGTGTTTGACTCATGAGTTGTGCCATTAATAGCTTTCGTGAAGAATGTCAAAGTGAAGGGTCAGGAGTATAGCCTGCGTTTGGTGGACACCGCCGGTCAGGACGAGTACTCAATCTTCCCGCAGGCCTACGCCATCGACATCCACGGCTATTGTCTGGTCTATAGGTTGGTGTTAATGAATGATTGTTGTGGTGATTTCGTGGTAACTAATGTTCACTCAAATGAATGGATGACAGTATCAATAGTCAGAAGTCCTTCGAAGTGGTTCGAGTGATCTACGAGAAGCTCTTAGATATGACCGGAAAAGTGCAGTGAGTGTCCACTAAATGCTTGTCT